GAATAAGGAAGACCGTAGAAGAATTGATGCTTTTGAGTTGTGGTGTTGGAGGAGAATATTGAAAGTACCATGGGCTGCCAAAAGAACCAACAAATCTGTGTTGGACGAAGTGCAGCCAAGAATGCTCCTTGGAGGCCAGGATGGCCGAACTTCGTCTCTCATACTTCAGACATGTTGTCAGGAGGGACCAGTTACTGGAGAAGGTTGGATAGAGGGTCAGAGAAAAAGAGTAAGACCCCCAGCAAGATGTATTGACAAAGTGGCAGCATCAGTGAGCTGAAGCGTGGCAACGTTTGTGAGGTTGGCCCAGGATCAGGCAGTGTTTCGTTCTGCTTTGCATAAGGTCGCTATAAGTCAGTACCAACTCGATGGCACCTAACAACAGCAACAACAATAGTTAGTATAGGCCTGCTTTACTAACTCTTTTTTTGCACGGAAATGAAAGTTGAAAGAGGTGAAATAACTTTCCCTAAGATATTTAGCTAGTAAGTGGTGGAGTCAAGATTTAAACTGACATCTTTGTATTCAAGTCAATTCTTTTGCCACTGAATAACTTTAGTCTTCATCAAATCAAAAACAAATGTTTTTAGTGTACATTGAAGTGGTAAAATTCAGTATAATTCCTTGAGACATGGAATATTGAATTCCTTGAGACATGGAATTTTATTAATGTGTCATCTAATACTTTATCTCTGGTGTATAACCTTTCTAGGATAGCATAAAAAGTCTAGAATTGGAAGTCATCAATCTTCAAAAGGAAAAGGAAGAATTGGTGCTTGAACTTCAGACAGCAAAGAAGGATGTCAACCAAGCCAAGTAAGAATAAAGTTGATAGATACTGTTTCAAGTCTATTATATATGTGAGGAACTACTGAAGCAATAGACAAGTGTATAGGACCCATATCCTTCCCCTATGAGACTTAAACCTAGTTTTATAGAGAAGACATAAACACAAGAAAAATTATGTAAATGGTATTTTAAATAACATCTCAGTATAATGGTTGCAACAGCACATGATTAATAGGCAATAAATTTCTTAGGAAGCAATTGCTTTAAGAGTTCAGAGCCAAGAGACATCAGTTCAGGCTAGCATGATCAAGGAAGTCTTTATAAAATTTAGCATTTGATCTGAGTTTTGAAAGATTATGAAACCTACCAGAGAGCAAGTTCCCTTTTCTCTACACTGATCATAAATGAAAAATCCCTGGTGGCACAGTGGTTAAAGCACTTGATTACCAACCAAAATGTTGGCAGTTCAAACTCACCAACTACTCTGCTGGAGAAAGATAATGACAATTTCGTTTCAAAATGATTAACAGCTTTGGAAACTCTTTTGAAAAGTTCTGCTTTGTCTTGTAAGGTCACTATGAGTGGGAATTGATTTGCTGGCAGTGGATTTGGAGTTTTTTTGTTGTTGTTTTTAAACTTTTTATTGTGAATTGAATGAAGGTGTACAGAAAAGACCATCCATTTTATAACCAACACATTGCATACTTTGTTTCATCCCCTCAATGTAACATTAGTTATCCCACTTCCTCTCTGAAGTTCCTATTTCCGTTCCACCCTCCTTTCCAACCTCTCTGCACCTTCTCTCCAGGTAAATATTGCTCTTTTGATCTTTAATGGTTGATAATACCATGGTGAGCGTACCTCACTGATGTTGTTATCCCCTCTGTATATCTGTCCACCACTTGGTTGAAAATTGGGCCATGAGGGTGAGTTCTGTTCCAGATCTGAAGTGTAGCTGACGGCCATGTTCTACAGTTCCTCCAGTCTCTTTCTAATCAGTAAGCTGGTCTTTTTTTTTTTTATAATTTTGTGTTTTGTGCCACACTGTCTCCCACTCTGGGAACTTCTAATATGATCACTTTTGGAGCAGTTGGTAGTGGTAGCTGGGCACCATCTTGCCCTTCAGACCTCAGAATTGTGTAGACCAATGTTCATCTTCAATTTTTCAACACTCTTCTTTTTTCTCAAATGGAGAAATCAATAGTTGTACATTGTTGTTGTTAAGTGCCTTCGAGTCGGTTCCGACCCATAGCGACCCTGTACAGGGTTTCCGAGGGTGTAAATCCTTACGGGAGTAGAAAGCCTCATCTTTCTCCCGCGGAGCAGCTGGTAGTTTTGAACTGCTGACCTTATGGTTCGCAGCCCAATTCGTAACCATTACGCTACCAGAGCTCCTTAGATGACTGCTTATGAGCTATTAAGATCCCAGTTACTACTACTCACCAAAGCAGAATGTAGAACATTGTCTTTGTGAACTATGTTATGCCAATTGACCATGGTGTCCCCGAGACTTTGGTCCTGAGAACTTAGGTGCAGCAACTTGTTGCCTCAAGGTGTATGTTAATACCCAAGAAGTTTTCATCATTTCCTCCGCTGTATGTTCCACAACATTCATAGATGTGTTAACAGCAAGGGTAAATACTCATACAAACACTGTCTGTCAAACCCTTATGTATTTTTGGATATTCTCCCAGTCTCTCTCCCATACCCATTCAGCCTGTGTATTTGTCCATGTATCTACCTATGGAACACTATTGTTGCGGGGTTGTGTATACAACTGTATTTACCTTTATACCTTTAACCCTCCCACTCCTCCCTGTGTCTTTATTTTTTTTTTTTTTAACTTTTATTGTGAATTGAGTGATAGTTTACATAGGAGAACATCGATACATTGGTTTTGCACTCATCATATCGTATTTTGTTTCATTGCAATGATGACAATCCCCTCCATGCATCATAATTCAACAATATTTGCTTCTGTTCCCTCTGTTATGTTTTGTTTTGATGTAAAACACTCAGGAATATATAATAATTTAAATAACCTAAGGACACATTCTACAAACCAGCCTCCTGGCCACCAGCACACAGCCTTGCTCTTTCCATGAGTCTAGAGTCCTCAGCTGCTGTGTCTCTCCATGTCATCATCTCTGCCTCCATCTCTGATGTCATGTATTTGGGGTTTTGAGATGGCAAATTACCTTATGAATAGACTTACTGTCCAGGGTTGTTGTTGTTAAGTGCCACGGAGTCAGTTCTGTCTCATAAGGACCCTGTATAGACTTTCTGAGAAATGACTGGTGGGTTTAAACTGCTAACCTTGTAGTTAGCTGCTGCTATTGTTTTTAAGTGCCTTCGAGTTGGATTAAACTCATAATGACCCTGAATAGGGTTTCCAAGGCTGTACCTCTTTGCCAGATAAGAGAGCCTCATCTTTCTTCCATGTTTGGCAGTCATTAGATTATCCTCTAGAGCCACTGCACTACTTGTGGTTAACAGGACAGTACTTATCCTAAAACACCACACCAGGACTCACTAGCTAGGGTTTGTTGTTATTAACCTCCATAAAGTCCGTTCTGACTCATAGTGATACTGTGTAGGATTTGAACCATATAGTTAGCAGTTCAGTGCTTATCCTATAGTGCTATACCCAGGACTCCAGTATCCGGCTCAGAATTATTCCTTATAGCTAAATTGAAATAAAATCCTTCAAATAAACAACTTTTGCCATAGAGTGTTAATGTGGGGTATGTAATGAGACTGTTGTATTCTCAAAAAAAAACTTGTTCTATTATTTGTATTAAGTTCCCATTTTTTGACAGTTTTGATTTGGTATCCATTTTTTTTAATGTATATGGGACTGGCCACCTATTATATATATATATATATACATACACATATATTAGAGTTGTGGGCCTGGGAGTCAGGCATTATTATATCTTTTGAAGACACAGTTTGCTGTTGTGAGCCTTCATTCCTGCATCATCTGTGTTTAGGTTGAGTGAACGTCGCCGCAAACGTCTCCAGGAGCTGGAGGGTCAAATAGCTGATCTGAAGAAGAAACTGAATGAACAGTCCAAACTTCTGAAGCTGAAGGAATCCACAGAGCATACCGTCTCCAAACTGAATCAGGAGATACGGGTAATAAACTGTCATGTTTACATTTAGCTCATTGGAAATTATAAACATAGGAGTTCCACTTAGAATTATATGACAAATATGTTTTCAGGTGAGGAAGTAGCAGGCAGGGCCATCATTTCATATGTGTGAATCTCCACAAACATCTGTTTTGCAGGACATTGTGCTAGAATGAAAGAATCTAAATAACTAAACCCTGATTTGACATTCAGAGTTTAATGTTAAATTCTTTGAATCCAAAGGACAAATACACTTTTGTATAAAAGGAGCTCTGGTAGTGTAGTGTAGTGGTTATGAATTGGGCTGCAAGCCGCAAGGTCAGCAGTTCGAAACTACAAGCTGTTACGTGGGAGAAAGATTAGGCCTTCTGCTCCCATAAAGATTTACAGCCTCAGAAACGCTGTATAGGGTCGCTATGAGTCGGAACCCACTCCACGGCACATAACAACAACATTGACCATCGTCCATGATATAATTTCTTAAGATAGTAGATGATTATTGTTGTTTGATGCCATCGAGTTGGTTCCATTGTACAACAGAACGAAATCCTGCCTGGTCCTGCGCCATCACAGTAAGATGATAGATACCTAGAAAGTGATTTTTCAGCTAATGAATGTTAACTTACAGGATTCAAAAAGTGATGGTTTAGACTACAATTGTTGCAAGGTGGATTTGTCCTAGAGGCTTAGTAGTTAGATTTAGTTTATACATACATTTTTTTTTTTTTTATCTTCAGAGTGTTCATTTCTATAATCTATACTTGGAAATTCTGTGTAAGACTAAGGGTATTGAATACCTAATCATAAAATCTGCTGCTGACCTTCTCAACTTCGCTTTGGACTTTTTCTCTTCTTAATGGTCTTTCCATCTGTACACTAGCCTAAAATAAAGTGCGGATGACTAATAATGTGACTTTTATTTTTATAGGCGATGAAAAACCAGCGAGTACAGTTAATGCGTCAGATGAAAGAGGATGCTGAGAAATTTAGACAATGGAAGCAACAAAAAGACAAAGAAGTAATCCAGTTAAAAGAACGTGTAAGTATCTAAAACTCCTCAAAGGCCTAGGTAATACACCCTTTCCAGGCCTACTAACATTAAAGCTTCTGAACTTCAAATAACTGTTCTATAAAAGATTGACACAGTTATGAATTTACAAGTTATTTATTAAATGTTTACTATGAGTAACCTACTATCCACTAGATACCATGGGAAATAAAAAATATGTATAAATGAACTATGCCCTTGAAGAATGTCTTATATGATGAGAAAGGTAAGCCTTAAATACAAATTTCCCCAATACAAGTAATAAAAAAACCTAGGGTACATGAATAGTATAAAATATGTAAGTAATTAAGAAAAAGGAAATCACACTTCCAGCTGGAGTGAAAAGATGATCGTTAAACAGGCCCTGAATAGTAGGGGAATTTGATAGAGATAAATATGAGAGAGCTTCAAACTGATCACGGAAAAAGTCCATTATCTTTTTATTCCATTTTTACAAACTTGTTGAAGTCCCCATATTCAGGCATTCCATATAAAAGGAACGCCAGGAGCAAAGACACAGAAATCACAACTTTCCAGGCATGGTCAAGGATTAGCACATGATTCAGGTAGGATGAAAGATAATAGTAGAAGATTTAGTAAATTGAAGCTGGATTGTTAAAGGTCCAAGTTTAAACTTTATTCTGTTACCAGTGTAAAATTTTTTTAAGTTTTTGAGAAATGAACTGATATCAGCAAAATACTCCTTTAAGAAAATACATCTGGGAATAAAGTGTAAAACAGATTGTAGCATGGAGAAATTGGAGATCAGAAATCAAATTAAGAAGATACTGCATAATCCAGAAAGAGAGTAAGATAGTAATATTAGAAAGCGTACTGAAAAGAACATTGATTTCAGAAAATGTTAAAATAATGAGCCAGAATGTGATATGTTGTGGCAAGACAAGAGGAAGTGTACTTTTCTGGATGATGTCATAAGGCAATTCATGGGCCAGTGAGAAAAAGAAGTTCTAGTGGTGCAGTAAATGATACAACCTTGCTTGCTGGAAGTGAAGGGAAGTTAAAATACTAATGAAGATCAAAGAGTACAACCTTCAGCATGGGTTGCACCTCAGTGTAAAGAAAATGAAAATCCTCACAACTGGATTGACATTATCAAAGACTTCATTGTGCTTGGATGTATAATCATTGCTTATGGAATCAGTAATCAAGATCTCAAAAGATGTATTGCATTAGATAGATCTGCTTCAAAAGACCTCTTTAAAATTTTAAACAGCAAAAATGTCACTTTGGGAATTAAGGTATGCCTGACCCAATCCATAGTATTTTCAGTTACCTCATATGCATGCAAAAGCTAGACAATGAATGAGGAAAGCCATAGTAGAATTAATCCATTTGAATTATGTTGGCAAAGAATATTGAAAGTACCATGACCTGCCAGAAAAACACAAAAATGTGTCTTGGAACAAGTAAAGCCAGAATGTTCCTTGGAAGGGAGGATGGTGTAAGACTTTATTTCTTGTACTTTAAACATGTTGTTAGGAAGGAGTAGTTGCTGGAGAAAGACATCATGCTTGATTTAATGGAGGGTCAGCTTAAAAGAGGAAGACTATCAACAAAATGGATTGAGACATTGACAACAATTGACTCAATCCTAACAGTAATTGTGAAGATGGCACAGGACCTGGCAGTTTTTCATTCTGTTGTACGTAGGGTCACGATGAGTTGGAACTGACTTGATGACACCTGACAGCAATACCAGCGGTTGCTAGCTGTAAAGTGGGTAGTTTGAACCTACCTGCTGTTCTACAGGAAAAACTGAGGCAGTCTGCTTCCTTAAAATGATTTGATAGTGGTTTATGTGCCGTGGAGTTGGTTCCAACTCATAGTTGACCCCATACAAGGTTTCTGAGGCTGTAAATCTTTACTGGAGCAGAAACTCTCATCTTTCTCCCACGGAACAGCTGGTAGTTTCAAACTGCTGACCTTGAGCTTAGCAACCCAATTCATAACCACTACGCTACAGCCCTTGCAAATCATATGGGACGGTTCTAATGTGTCCTATAGTGTCACTATGAGTCAGAATCAGCTTCACTATAATTAGTATGATTTGGGGTTTGGTTTTCCCCAGAGAGAAAACTACAAGTCATGAAATTTATAGAAACAATTATTAAAAATCTCTGGGCAGAAAAGAAGTCTCTGGAAATGGAGAATGGCAAGTATTAGTTGTGGAGAAACTCATCAGTTGCTAGAGGCAATGTAAAATGAAGCAGCGACTGTGGAAAACTGGTGGTTTCTCAAAAATTTGAATGTAGAATTACCATATGACCCAGCAATCCCAGTCCTAGGTATATACCCAGAAGAAGTGAAAACAGGAATGCAAACAGAAACCTATACACATGTGTTCATTTCAGCACTTTTCACAGTAGCTCAAAGGTGGAAACAACCGACATATCCATAAGCAGATGAATAGATTTGCAAAATATGATATAAAGTCTGGTGAATAAAAAATATATATATATTGCTTCTAGGTTTTCAGTTCAGACATGCATGGATTTATTTCAAGTAAAACATGTTTAAACTTGTCTCTGTAATCAGTAGATAGCTGCAGAAAAGTTTTTTCACTAATATGTTTCTCTTACTCTCATTTCGGTTGCTTTCAAAAAAGAAGGTATACTCAAAAACTCCTTTACTAGGGGATCTGCTGGGCCAGTTAAATTCAAGGCAGCTCAGAAGTTAATGGTGACTATCCTTTTAGAACTTCAGTGAGGTAGTCTTGATAGATTTTTTTTAATGCTTTTATTATGAATTGAGTGATAGTTTACATGGGAGAACATCCGTTTTGCTCTCAACCAGTTGTATTTTGTTTCATTGTAATGATTGTAATCCCCTCCATGCACCATTGGTTAACAGTATTTGCCTCTATTAACTCTTTTTTTGTTTTGTTTTGTTTTGTTTTTATATACACAAAAACTCGCAGGAATATATAATCATTTAAACAACCAAAGAGCACATTTTGCAAGCCAGTCGCCTGCCTGCCAGCACACAGCCTTTCTCTTACCATGAGTCTAGAGTCCTCAACTGCTCTGTCTCTCCATGCCATCACCTCTGCCTCTGTCTCTGGTGTCGCTGCTTCTCTCGTTAGATCCCACATTCCATTCATGCTTTTCTCCCTTGATGGTTCTAGGGTCTTCTGTTCCTGGAATGTAAGATTAAGTACTCCTCCCTTTTTGTTACACATCTTCTACATTTATAGGTGGACCAATCACAGTTAGTCACAATAACAATTTCTCACTATTGAATCAAAAGAATGCTATCCCCATAAGTATAGGTCAAGTTCATCAAATGGTAGCAATTTACACTTGTTTCCTGTATCAGAGTTATTTATCTTCCTCTAGTTGATTTCTGATCATAAAGCCATCCAAGCTAGGTCAAATGGGTACTGTGTGCAAGTTTTATCATTATTGCATGCCTCCCCCACTTCATATCAGTTGGACACTTCACTCTCAGCTGTAGCCCACCGTAGCTAAGTTAGTGTCCATGGGCTCAGGAGTGCCCAAGTCTCCCCAATCTTTGGACCAACCATCCCTTCCTCTTCTTTCTCTCATTTCAAGGTTGACAGGAGTCTATGGAACATGGTCAAACTCACAGCACATGTCTTCATTACTGCCTTTGCCCCACTTACACACAAAAGTAGACCAACAAGGTCACCAGCAAGCTTACATGTCTGCTCTTGTGTTCCCTTTGAGCTTCAATCTTGGAAGGGGGTTTGTCCTGATGGGACTTGATTACTTGCCTTGATGGCTCCCAGGCAAACAGCTTGCTTGTTCTTGTAATAGCCAAATAGTCTGCTGTTTTGTTTTGCTGTTTCTTTTTCCTGCTGGTCTTTCAAGAAGTTGGGTAGATTTTCTTGAAGGGCACAGGAGAATCACAGACCTCATTAGGAAGAGGTTTTAAATAAATTTGAAGCTGAATTGATGAGAAAAAGGAAAGAAAAGTTGCAGCAACGAATTTTTTCCCATCATGACAGTGCATTTGCTCATTCTTTTAGGGTGGCATGGGCTGCTCTGCAAGCATTCCATTGGGAAACAATGATCTTTCCCCTTTTAGATGTTTTTTTGTTTGTTTGTTTCTTACTTAGTTCCTTAAACTCAGAGAACCTTGAAAATGAATACGATTTGAGTCCATCGAGGATGTTAAAAATGCTGTTTTGCTGTGGTGTAAATCGAAGAGTTCAGATTAATTCAGGGAAGGGTTATAGAGGTGGAAAAACTGCCTTCAAAAATATATAGAAAAAATATAGAGAGTTAGATGGAGTGTATGTCTAAAAAAAAGTTTCACATTTTTATGTTTTTGTTTTAAAAAGATTTCTATGATTTTGTAGCAATACTTTTTTAAAAAAAGCTTTTATTTTGAATTGAGTAAAGGTTTCATAGGACAGATCATCAGTTTTACATTCAACAAATCATTGCAATGATTATAATTCCCTCCATGTATCATCAGCTACCTCTATCCCACCAAGCCACCCCTCCCCCCCTTTTTTTTTGATGTAGACATACCACAATGAAAATATGTATTCGTTCAAATGTCCAAAGGGCACATTTTGCAAGCCAGCTTCCTGCCTGCATTCGCACTGCCTTTCTCAGTCCATGGGCCTCTAATCCTCAGCTGCTCTATCTCTCTATGTCATTGCCTCTGCCACCATCTCTGTTGTCACTGCTTTTCTGGTTAGGATTCCATACTCCACTCATGCTCTTCCTTCTTGATGGTCCTAGGGTCCTCTGTTTCTGAAGTGACAGATAACTGCTCCCCACTTTTAGTTATACCTCTTCTGCAATTACAGTTGTAACCATCGCCATTAGTCCTGATAAAAGTTACTCACAATTGAATCTTATCAAAATCCTTTCCCCATCATCACCAGACCCATTTGGACAAGAGAAAACTATTCTGTGGGGATTTTATCATACCACCCGCATTCTGGCACTAAGCACCCTCATGAAAGCTTGTAAGTCAGCTTTATAGCACCCTCATGA